GGGGCTGCACCTCAGGGCCAGTGTGGGAGCTGCACGAATGGGAGGCGGAAGGAATCAGCAGGACCTCGACTGTCGAACATCCCCAGCGCCTTCCAGGGGCCTCCATGATGTTTATTAAAAAAAAAAAAAAAAAAAAAAGGAAGAAGAAAAAAAAAAGAAAAAAAAAGTGTTGGTTTTATCTGCAAAACATTTCTCCTTGTGACCCATTTCTGAACAGCCATGAATAGCCCCCCTGTTTGGTACAGTCATCTGTGTACGTGTGGGGGAAGGGAAAGGGCTTTTCTTTCTCTAATTTTTTTTTGTCCTCTTCTTCTTTCTCGTTTTTTTGCTCAGTGAGTGTTCGGTTGCAAAGAAACAATGGCCGGGGTTAGATTTTTTGCACTGAACTCTCTCTTGGGCGGCAGTGCCAAAACACGACTTCATATGAAAGTGCATAGATTTGGAGGAAGAAAATTAATTCCAGCTGCTCTGGGTGCTCCAGACATTGTGTCAGACTCTGGAGGGCTGCCAGCTCACAGACCATAAACTCCAGCTTAGGAAAGGAGGTTTGGGCTCGGATTATATTTTTTTTTCTTACCCTTTGTCAAGAGGTTTTGTTTCTGTTTTGTAACTTGGGACATGTCAAACTTAAGGTGCTTTGTTAACCTGGAAGTATTTAAATTAAAGTAATTTACAAATGGAAGGGTATGTCATCTTTAAGGCGGGGGGGGGGAGAGGAAGGGAGAGAGGAAGTAAAACCTGAACTGAATTTGTTATCTGGGTGTTGAATTTCTCCCTCATAAATGCATGTAAACTGGTGCGATCTAAATCCCTGTTTATTATTCCTTAACCTTTCCCTACAAAGCCACTCTTGGGTAGATGAATTGTTTTGCTTTTCCCAGGCTCATCTCACACACAGAGGAAAAAAATCTGCTTATGGGCTTTGGCTCAGCGTTTCTTCTTTTCCCTCCTTCTCTGAGAGCTGGTGACTTGAAAAGAAGAGGTGTTTTGAAAATGATTCAAGTGGGATGTGTCTCTTCATAAGCTTACTATATCTAAAATGTCTCCCTGAAAACAGCAAAGGCTAAGTATGCCTTATGAAAAGGAAAGGCAAAAAACCTGCAGCCATTCAAACTGCCATCTGTGGCACCAGAAATATGGCTGTGCACATCCTGGAGGGGCCACGTGTTCTTTCACACCTTTCCTGGCACTAAGAATGGCGGTGGCAAATTTGTCTTTAATTTAATGGAATGTCATCTGCTGGATTGAAGCCATCAGCTGCATTCACATGGTCACCAGGCCTCTTTAAAAGTAGCAACTTGCTTTTCATCAGCTTGAATCCTATTCAAATACACTTTGTGGGCATGACTTAAAATATTGGCAGAGTATGAATGCCTGAGATTTATGCGTCTGAGCACAGAAAATCCTGGTATTGGATATTGAAGATCCATTCAAGATGGTGGATCATCACAGACTTGTCTATTTGCCACCAGATTTCATTTCTTGACCCTTTGCCAGGCCAGTTTTTAAAATGCGAGTTGGCATTTTTCAGGTGAATGAGGCTAATGGACACTTTTCCTAATTTGTCCAGTCTTGATCACAGCCAGAAGATGGCAAATGCCTGCGGCTGGCTCAGCAGGCTGCTTACTGTAATGCTGGCTCCGCTGCCTCTGTCTCAGTTTGTGTGATGACAGACGCTGCGGGTGGATTAAGGAGAGGGATATTGGAAAGATGTGTCTCTCATGGACTCCTAGGTTGGATGTAGACCATACACTTAGTAAAGCTGCAGCATGCTGTGTCAGTCGAGATATGGCTCCCAACCATCGCAGCGTTTCTCCCAGTGTTGGCTGAACTGTGGCGACCAAAACCACCTGGTTCAAATTCTGGTCCTTGAGACTTGCCACTGTCTTCTGGAGAAAGATCTGTCTGTAGGTATCTCAGTTGTTCTGCCGTGAAGACCTCTAGTAAATCAGGAGGAGTCTGATCTTTGCAACCAACGCATTTTGCTGTGACCCCTGTAACAACTTTCCTGTCAGAATCCCTGTCTAGCCTGACTGCTGGCTTAATAGTTTTAATTATACACAACTTGTGCCATGGAATCCCACACGCAAGAAGACGGTGGCATTTTCAGGGAGCCCTTTTAATATCGCCCTAGAGCCCTTCCACTTAAAAATAACTTGATTTCTGCTGAAACCCCTCATCCTTATTATTTTTATCTAAACCCTTGGGAATACTTGCCTGAAAACAGCATGTGTGTCTCTTGAGTCATATCTGCTGCGTACTCAGCCCTGCATGAGAGAAATTATCTTTTTCTGAAGCTTCTTAATTGTTTCTTCATTTTCTTTAGCAACTAACAGCTATTGCAGAATAACAGAGGAGAGGAGGAGGGGAAAGGAGCAGATTAACAGCTGAATATGGAATAGTGGCAAACGGGGAAAGCATGCCCATTTTCTTCTATGTTCATCAGCTTGTTTATAGCAGGGAGTGTTTTCCAACAGGGATTGCATCTCTAACAATCTTAGGGAGCTGAAAATAGCAAGGTATACAAAGCCTACTGCCACCTAACTCACCCTTTCATGTTCAGGGCTGTTAGGAATCCAAGAGCACCTTCTCTGCTATGCACAGCACCTCGAGACCTGGGTGGTGAGACACTGATTGGTGGCATTTACGCTACAGAGAGCGCCAACTGTGCTGGTGTGTGACTTATATTTTTCTATGGAGCATCCAGTGGATAGCAACATTTTTGCTGTAGTCAGAGTCTGGAGAAGGATCCTGTAAGGGTGCACGTGGGGCACATTTCCAAGGACCTGATGGTCCAAGTGACCTAATGTCATCTTCAGCCCCTGGGTAAGTCTGCATTCCCTTGTCTCAGAGCAATGTAGTTTCTCTTTGGTTAAGTAGGAATTGACAAGGTGGAGCTGGCCATAGCCTTACCTTGTTTTCAGGATACACTTTCAAACAAAATGAAAAGAGAAGAGGGGTAAAACTTTGCAGATTTATTGTCATTTAATAACCAAATAACCTCCTTTTTCCATTTTAGACATTGAATAATACTTGTAGAACAACAATAAAAAAATATTAAGCTATGTAAGTTTTGGCTTTGCAAAGGTGTCATCACCTCCCCAGTCTGGGAGCACATCACAGGTGTACCACTGCCTTCAGGTAAATCATATTGCTGTTTCCTCCCTCAAGTCTTTCTGCCTATAAAGGAGCCACTGGCTTGTTTTTTTACCAGCTTTTGAGGTGCATGACATTTATCGTACAAGCAAAGTCCATCTGCTTGTCTGGCTACCTTTGTCTCGTGTTTAAAGGTAAAGGGGGTGGAAAGGAAAAGAAGGAAAAGTACCTGGTTGGAATACATAAATTTTCCTCTGGCATGAGCAGAGTTTAATTATTCCTCTGCCAGCCAACTCTAAATGGCACAAAAGCCTGATAACAGCAAAAACAAACAACCTCCCCACACCTGAGCAGGCCTGCAGGTGGCAGCCACCTACAAACCTGCTTTTTGGCTGTCTCAGCCCAGGCCAGTGCTGTCACCGGCAAAGCTGCTCTGTGATAGCCTGGGTACATCTGAGTAAACCATGTTCAGATGATGGTGCTCAGCAGCAAAACATTGTAGATGGTGGACTAGAGAAGCAAGACTTTAACGAGGGGCTGAAATTGCTTGGTTTGGATCAGATGTTTCAGTTTAACAAGAGGCCATTGCCTTATGTTGCTCGGTTCCTTAATCTGTCATGATTAATTTTGGATGGCTCTTTTAACCTACAGCTGTACTAGAGTTTGCAAATTAGGACAGGCTGAGGGGTTTAGACATACATGGTGTGTCTCGTCTCAAGAGGAAATGAGCATTATTAGGCACAGAGAGGACAGCTTTGTAATGCTAGTTCAGATTTTTTCTTTTGGCTTGTTACCATCCTTAGGCCAAAACAGACTGCCCAGAGCCTTGTTCAGCTCCAGTGATTTCAAGGGATGGTCCTAAGTGCTACTGAAGTGCTTGGTAAGGAGGCTATCCCCTCAAAGCTCTGCTAAGAGTAGAATATAAAGAGGAATACAGAAGATAAGAGAGTTTTGAGAGACACAACTTGCAGTTTACTCCAGGGTTTAGATACATATTTATTAAGGAGGGAGAGGGAGGGCTTGAGAGCAGTTTGGCATTAGAGAAATAGCCAAACCCCTGTGACAACTGTATACCTTGGAATGGACAGAAGAGCTCTGTGTCTGGAAATCCACCTTCTGTGAGCTGGGGTTCAGTGGTCAATGTACTCTATCTGCTGTAGGCTGGGCAGAAAGGAGGACTTCTAGTGCAAGCATTAAGGACTGCATTAAAGCTACACAGCAAACATGACAGTAAAAAGAAGAGGAAGGATGCTGCAGCATGGAGAGTGTTGCCATTCTTAGTCACTGCTCCCTGCATTGGAAGATCTGCTGGGGACAGCAGTCACACAGGCTAAATTCTGTGTCTTGCATGTATGTATTTAATGCCATCTGAGAGTATCCAGGGCATTTGCCTGGGAGTTTCAGCTGTAACACAAGAATTATAGGAGTGCCCTTCTGAAGCAACAGCCATGAGCCAGGCCAGATTCACCTGAGCATCTGAATTGGCTCCGGACATGTGCCTTCAGGCAGCTCACAGGTGCTTTGAGAGCCCTTTCCTATTTCACAGCAGTGCTCAGAGAAAAGTCTGTGGGTATTTCCAGTGTCTGTGGATATCCTAGTTGTTCTCCTCCAAAGTGATGTCACTTGTGTTTTAGAGGCTCACTGATGCATCAAAAAGTCTGAAGTAGAAGTCACCAATTTCGCAAAATGTATTAATTGCATCTTGCAGCCTAAGCGATCTCCTGAGTATCACTTGCACAATTAGACTGTAAATAATTTAATATTTGGCTATCAGGGATTCCATCAATATTATGCAGGCTTTTTGCTTCCTTTTCTCTTGCATGCAATGGGAATAAATATTTCATAGATGATCTCACAGACAGTTTCTGGGATGACATGGGACTTGCTTGCATCAGAACAGAGCAGAGAACTAGATGACTCTGTGTGTGCTGGATCCCACGATGGAGAGACACAAGATATTGCAGCACAGAGGTAGGCTCTGGTTTGGGGGGTTTCCCACCATTGTGGCAAATAACTGGTGCTTCTCTCCAGCTCCAAGAAGTCACATATAAGTGGCCAGCAGGTCAAAACCTCCCGAGGCAGGAGAAATGTGCAGGTACTGTGTCACTGCTGTGCCAAAGGGAGGGTGCCAGGGAAGGAAGACTCACACAGTACACGAGACCTGCCAGGTCTGTGAGTGCAAGGGTTAGTGCTAACGACAGTGATGGGGATGTTCAGCAGTACTGAATGTGGAGTACAGACAGACAAAATTCCCTAATCCTGGCAGTTCTGGGACAGCTTTTCTATTTCTTTTGAACTGAGGGATCCCTTTTGAGGGATCCCTTTGCCAAATCCTGGGCACCGACAACAAGACAAATACAGCAGTCTGACTTGCCGCAGGCATTACTACTTCTCTGGTTTCCCGCCTCCCCCCAAGTCTCTCTCCTGAAGACCAGGGCATGTACAACATTGTCTGAGAGCTCAGACTGGGCATATGGTCAGGTCCAGGCACCAAAGAGGAGGGACTCAGGGAAAATCCTGGATTTGGTCAATAAGAGCAGGAGCAAGAGGAGGAGGAAGGAGCTTTGTGAATTGGGACCCTGTTCTATAAAGCCAAATCCTCTCCAAGTCTGGCAAGAGGCATTGTACAGCCTGTGATTAAGACAATCTCTTCTGAGAAGTCAGCCCAGCTGAACAAGTCACGAGCTGGTCCTTGGGCTGCCACAGACATCACGTGGCTTCTGTGACAACAGCTCCACTCAACTACAGTAGTCAAGCCTAACCAGCCCAGACCTAGACCAATATCAGGCATGCCTCTTTGCAACTCAATAGCCCAAATTCCCTTAAAGCAGGATCCCTGGCACTGGGAACCCACTTAAAGGTGTAGGCACATGCTTATGGGGCAGGGGGTTCTTTTCTGCAAGCTCTATAATAAGAAGCAGGTTTCAAACAACAGTCCCTGGGATGTGAGCCGACAGTGGCATTGAGTTTCCCACATAGCTGGTCACAGAGTTTCATTCCCACGTGTTTTTTGCTCGGCTTGGTGAAGTCTCTTTGTGTCCTCCAGCACCCTTTGGCCAGCAGGGTTAGTGTGGTGATGGGGGTGTCTGGGCAGCCTTTGGCAGAAGGTGCTTTGTGGGGAAGAGGAGGTGCAGTGAGAGATGGGGAAAGAAAAGCAGTCACACCACCAGCATAAAACACTTAAAGGCAGAGGTGGCACTCTGATAGGTTTTTGTTGGTTTTACTTTAGCACAGTTTTCCACAATTGTTCTGGGAAAATTCACTTGACGCCTGCTATCATAATAATAGAGAAGTAGAACTAATGATTTTTCATTTCAGGATCTTAAAGCATTCATGAAACAATCCAACCACTTGCACTTAGGACACTCATAGATGGCAGATCTTGTTCCACAGGCTGCAGAAACAGAAGCACAGACATTTGAAAGTAGAGAAAGAAAGAGCTGAAGCTGGTGAGATGGCCGAACACCAAGCACTGCGGGACTTGTGATCAATTTGCTTTGAGCTGTGAAACTATAATGAGCATAGACTTAGATGAAGATAAATATTAAATGCAAAAAGAAGAGGTCTTAGGCCAGCTATCTGAGAGGTTCAGTCCCTGACAAAAACTGTAAATACCTACTAGATATAGGCTGCTTCCAGAAGTGGCATTTTCTCAGTATTTTCAATTGATTTTTTTCCCTAAACAATCTATCTCCTTCCTAATTTAGGATTCAGCTTATCACATCATAGAGATAAACTGAAAATGGAAAAGGTCACAAGTTCTACTTTACTTAGGGGAAAAAAAATACTCTTTGTAAAATGTCTTTGGACTTATTTACATGACTGCCTTTGTTTTTCTTACAGAACAAAGGCCTGAATCCTCACTGTCCCATGGAGCCTTCAAAACTAGTGACTGGATCAGTGACGGGCTGCCTGAGGAAAACAAACCTATGAGCACCAAGTGTAAGCCATGTGAGCCCACAGCTAGCCCACTTGCTTTTTTAAGTTTCGAAGAGGCAGAGGCTAATACTTATTTTTACAATGACAGGTCCTTTGGCAATGTTGTCCTAAGGCAACAACAAAGAAATGACACTATCTAATGCCAGTGGGGCTGTTCCTCTCAGCATCCAGAGGACCTTCAGACCTGGCCATGTAAATAATGGCACTGATGCCTGTGTGGAATAAACTACTACTGCTTCTTGAGACAACTAGCATCAGCTGACCAGCGGTACAGGGAGAAAAGCTGCCTATATGTTTTTTATGTTTTATAGCCAACTAACACCAAACTGCAGGCTTATTCAGCCCTAGTAATAGTCTTAGTTGGATTTTCTCTTACTTTGACCAGTTTGGGACTTGTAGCATTGCCAAATTGCTGGAAAGCCAGTCTGGCTACAGCACAGCATCTTGCTACTGCCCAGCTGCCTCTTCTCTGCAACAACCTTTTACCACAGGCTCTGTAAAGGTGGGACAGAGCTGGTGCTGCTCCCTGGAGAGAGGTAGGTGTCATGAGTTTGATGGCGTGGGTTTGGGTTTGTGTCTGCTGCACTCTTGTATCATTAAGGGGGTCTTAGCACCTGTTTGGGGCAATTAGGCTGTTCCCAAGAAATGAATTATCTGCATTGACTAGCTGAGGGAAGGAATAATTTGTCTGTGTTTTCAGGTGGTATCAGAATTAGCTGTTTAATATACAGATGAGACCCAGGAGAGCATCTGTGGTGAGAGATGGCCTTACCTGCCGTGTGGAGTGGCCTTATCCCAGCAATCTCCTTCAGTCCCACCTGCCCTTTGTAACAATGTCCAGCAGCAAACACAGACAGGGCGGGTGGCACAGAGTCCTTTGGGCACAGCCTGCTGTACAGCATCTGGCGTGACCAGGGAGGTCAACACACCCCCAGGATCCTTTCATGTGTGTGCAGGGTAGGTGCTGGCAGCAGGACTGCTGGGAATGCACTGAGGTTTTAAATAAGGACATACTACGCTTTTCCAGATCTCTCCTGCCCCCCTCTCTTGCCTATTGGTGCAGAAAACAACCAAAATAACAACTAAACAGCAGAAAAATCTTCTCTAACGCCTTAGTCTTTGTGCCCTTCTCAGTGAGGGCTGGGAGTAAAACTGCCCCAGAAACAATGGTTAAAAAAATGCTGAAGGGAGGAGAGTGTAAAAGGGAAACTACAGTCTGGACTTGCACTAGTGGTGGATGTTTTTTATTACTGTTACTGGCTATTCAAACACCCAAAAAAAAACAGAAAAGGAGAAGTGGAGACAGCAGCCTCAAATCAAACAGATTTCAAACAATTCACAAACTTCTTCTAAATATATTAATCTTCCAAAGACTCTTTAGCCTGTTAGATAGACTTAAATAATCATGACCTAGTACTTGCTGAATAACTAAAATCTTTTGAGAGTTCACATTTATACTTCAGATCACTGTAAAACAAAGGGCAGAAAGAAATCCCATTTGGATGTGAATATTTAATACGGCTGTTTGAAAAGCTGCTGCACTGACATTAATTTGGGCAGATAATCAAATAAGTATTAAAACAAACAATTATGCAGAGATAAAATTAGAACATGAAAAGGTTCTAAGTTAAGCCAAAAGAAAGTGGTTTATAAAGACCATGGCCTTTCAGGCATAACTGGAATAAAACACCAAGGCTGTTAGTTTATATTCAGGATTATAGATTAGTGGTGGTACCAGTAGTGCCTGGTATGTAAATAGAGGATCGATGTTGGGTTTCTTCCTTAAAGACCTACCTTAGAGCCTGTGCATGTTAACTGGAGCCTTTCTGTTATGCCAAACAGGCTTTGGATCAGGCTCCATCACCTTCTGATTGGAATCCCACAATTCCTTCATTTGGCAGCTTTCAGGAGAAGCAGAAGTGAAACATATTGCAAAAACCAAGCTCCAACAGGAGTCCTGTTCAATTATGTCTTAACATTAAACTGTAGCTAATGTGCTTTTACCAGATGTCCTGATGAAATACTATTACTAGCCGGTGCATTGCATTAATTAAAGTGAAATTTCATAATGAATTCTTTTTTTCAAGGCAGCAGGGATGAATTGATGACCTACATAACCTCCTTTCCCTCTGAAATAGCTTTCCAAACTAATGAAATGAATCCCCCTGGTTGTGGCAGGGGAGCAGAGGGAGCCATGCTTTGCAGCCCAGCTACACGCTGTGACATGAAAAAATCTGGGCACTCTCTGCAGAGATTATGGTTTGCCTTTCATTGTGTCTAGCAACAAGAGGGAACTTTTGGAGGCAGGCAGACTCTCCATTAAGGCACCTTGCATAACGGGAGGCTTTTGAAAGCTCCATTAAAATTCTTGGACAGTGCCCTCACAGAGAAGCCGCGGGATAAGCTGGCTGACCCTCTACCTTACAAACCGGCACAAATGCACAGACAGTTAAATGCACATTTGTTCGAGCATAAGAGGCTTAGGGTATGTCATTAAAATATAATCCACAACGGACAACAAACATACACACAGCTGGCAGGCTCAGACCCGTTTTTGCAAGCGTGCTAGAGAGAAGCAGGAGGCTCAGCATTACACAGCCCGGGTACGTGGGGAGCGGGTGGGAGGAGGGGAGACCTCTGTTCCTGGGCATATGTTTTTAAAAGAGAAAATATGCCTGTGAATTCTGATTATGTCTGTGTTAGTACATTTTGATCCATGGTGGTTTGAGATTAAAAGCAATTTATGATGTTGCTAAGTCTCAGCGGTCTACATTTCACTAAGCCATTGCAGTGCAATCAGAACAGTGCCTGTACCAATCCTGGATTGTGCCAGCGAGTCCTAATTGCCTGGAAGATAATGGTGTCATTAAAGTCTCTTGCCCCCGTGAGCCTTGTGCTCCTCGACAGAAAAGATGCTTTTATTGTTGGTTTCAAAGGAGCCCTCAGTCACTGCTAAAGCACATTGTCCATTCAGAGGTACTGGGAGGATTTATTCTGTAGCTGCTTTATTTCTTTGTTTCTGCCTTCACAAGCAGTGGGCAGAGGAGAGCAATGGAAAGAAATGCAGAAAAAAATATCGACTTTTCATCAAGACAAAATATAAATCAGACATGATTCGGTTAGACACTATGAGGGGAAGAAGTGGCTGAGACCTAGCATTGGTTTAGGCTTCTAGAAACAGAAATGGAGAATACTTCTGTGTAAGGAGACACACTCCACAAAAAATGCCAACTTCACCAATAATTTTCAAGTCAGTAATCATTTTGACAGAAAAGCTGTGACTAGCTTCTTTATTCATACAAAAGGCACGTGGCCCTGCAATTACACCTTAACTCATAACCATCCTTCTTACTGGACAATTTCAATTAAGAAATGACCTCTGCATAAAACATTCCATTCTACTACATGATTTATTCCTGTCTTCGTCTGGTAACATCTTCCTGAAAAGCAGGTAAATCGATCACTTGTCTCTTTATGGGTGTGAGCTTTTTAAACAGAAGGGGGGGGGATGTGTATTATTATTTGCCTGCACTCTGAATCTTGCTAGTCCTCGCACTTTGAGAATCACTTTTCTGTTTGCTCTGCACAGTGCCCTGCTCAGTCAAGGAGCCTGTTTTCACTGGGGTTAGCAATACAAGACCACATACAAATGACAGTGACATGCAGAGGTAGCCTATTAACGAGTGTTTTCTATATTTGTGCCATAAAAAACTGAATGGAGATGCATTTAATCTCTAACACCCGGGAGAAGTCGTATCTGCTGAGAACAGTAAGAGGCTTGGTTTGCAGAGGGGCTGTAGGGGGCTGTAGTCTACCTGACCTGCTATCCTCATAAAACCTTTGCAGTGAAATGTGCACTCAGTTAACTTAAGAGACTTATGGCAGGCCATTCCAACATAATCCAGAGTGCTCACCAAATGCATGCATTACACAGAAAATGCTTGGCATTGCTGGTACAGGGTACCCAGAAGCAGAGAGGAGCCTCCACAAATCAGCACTCAGATAATTTTCCTTTCATATTTTCCTTCTCCTTAACTGCCTTTCATTCTCTTAATTTTTCCTTTTACTCTTCCAGCTGTTACCTTTCCACCTTCTGTCCATATCATCCACCATAGCAGGTATGAGAGCCTTTCTTCATTGCATCACATTTCTGGGGTATTCTCTGTTGTAGTTTTTGCCACGAACTCTCCATTTGTTTAAGACTTACTGGCATTTAATGCTTTTTTTTTTTTGCTGAGACCTTTTGAATGTAGGATCTAAACTGCAGTCCTGCTGCTCAGGGCTGTGCCTGTAAGGTGGCGCCAGAGCAGGGGCTTCTTCCGAATGAAGGAGGAGGGGTCTCAGTCAGTTGACAGGTGGAGGGGAGGCAGTAATTAGACAGAAGAACTTAACACCACTTGCCTGATATGTAAGTGGGGGAGAGAGATTGTTTAAACCACAAAACCAAATCTGGAGGCCCCTCTGTTCATATCATGCAGCAGCCTGGAAGGGGCCAAAGGGGCTCTTCCATGACCACACCAGAAAGCCCAGAGTAGCACCAAGCCCTGCCAGGGACTCTGATGCCCAAAACCTGCAAAATGTGAGCTCAGATCTTAATCTAGTGTATTCAAAATAGACACTGTTTTACTGTTTTTATAAAGGAACAGAGCACGAATGGCAGTAAACTCATGAGCCTTTTGGCCTAATCCCATTTCAGACACAAAAAAGAAACCCCTTCCTGACAGCTACAAGCTCTCTGGGAAGAGTGCGCTCTTCCTATGTTTCCCAAACTATATTTACTCTGCCATGTGCTGTCATCCTCCAATCCTCTTTGAGTGTCTCTTGAAGAAAAAAATCTGTAGTGAATTATAATGACAATACATTGAAGATGGTTTACAGCAGAGAATGGCGCTTTATAGCAGCCGGCTGTGACAAATCTGGGTTGGGAGAGAACATTGTGTGTGTCCCAGAGATTATAGCTTTTAAAATAAGAACCTCATTCTCATTCCCTGGGGCTTTTTAATGAATTGCCACATGCAACAATGCCTTAAACGAAGCATCAGTGATTATCCGTCTGATGGCAGCTCACTCAGTGATTATAACATAAAAGAACATGCAGCACCCTGAAAAACCTAAACCTACTTGAAGAGCTCTACTGATGCTAAGAATAGCCCCCTTCTTAAAGGCAAAGATGCAGAGGTCACCAAAGGAGCAAAAACTTTTAGAGAGGTGGAATGTCTTACCATGGTTAACGTTGCTCAGTGAGACGATACACCCACCTCTGAGCCAGGTGTACCACACACAGACTGAGAGCAGCAGGTGCCAGTCAGATCCCAGGATTAGAGACACCTGAATGAAGGAAAATCACATTTTACACTTTTGGCAAGAGCTAGAAAAAGGCCAGAGGCAGCAGTCCTGCTGGTGTGACCCAGAGGAAAGTGGTTCTTGTTGAACTGCGAGGATACAGTCCAGTGAGGGTTACAGGTCTTGCACCCAGGCTCAAGGATGTCCTGTCCCATCCAGATATCTGCTTAAACACATAAACACTGTGGCTTTTCCCTCTTGGACAGACATGCTGGTCACAGCATTTAACTCAGCATTTGGCTTAGGTATGCAAGGGAAGAGTCCAAACTACCATGGCTCCCTCTGCAGTTGCTGGATGACATGGGCTCCTCTCCCATGTAATAAAAGCTCTGCTGTGGATCACGCCACAGGAAAGTCTACCGCTCTCCAATGAATGTACCATGGCCTCTGGAGACCACAGTCCAAACTTAGACACCTCATTTAAATGCCTCATCTTGGGTTGTGCAAATACACCTCACAGTACCTCCAGCTCCTCTGTCCATCTTAACCACTCTTCCAATGCCTGTGCACTCACCTTACACCACCCAGGGCTCTCCCCATCCTGTTACATCCTGTATACACAACCCTAACAACTCCTCTGGGTCCAAAAGTATGTTTTTTAGCATCCCAAACTAGATTGCTCTGAATAGACCCTCCACGTATAGAAGGCTAATGCATCCCAATGCAAGTGGCTTGCTGTGCATGGGACACAGTGTCCCTCTGCATTTTCCCAGGATTTGCAGATGCCCAGCAGCCCAGCTGGCAGATATTCAGATGCCCACTAACTCATTGCCCACACCACTTGGAGCTGGCAGGTCCACACGCTTCCCTGACGTCCGCCCTGCATTCATCTTCTGTTGCTCCTGGGCTTGGCAGCTTCCAGGGTAAATCTGGGTCAACATCTTTCTGTAGGATTTCTGTTCCCTTCCTGCCATGGCTGGCAGAAGGGGATGTGCCAGGACAGTACTGAAGGGCCATTGATTGATGAGGAAAGACAAGACAGGCAATGAGGGTTTTTGGTTTAACCACTTCGAAGCTGTGCACAAATACACAGACCCACAGACAGGCATTGCTAGTAAAATGTCAGTAAAAAACAGAGGCTGATGTAGGAAAATCCCTTGCTGTCTCCAAAAATCACACACATCCATTTGAATCAGTGGGAAATTCAGTGTTTGCTTTTTTACTGTTGTTAATAGCTACTCAGGTTTTCATAATTTTAATCCATTATTCCTAACATATGTAACAAAGTAAGTTTAAAACCATATTTGGACCAGTGCAACTCTGACTGTTGGGAAATCCACAGGAAAAAAACAGTCTCAGCCCTATTTCAGTAAATGTGCAGGAGGATCAGTATGAGTAAAAGCTCTTGTTAGTTCTCTCACGCTTTGTTCTTAGTAATTGGTTGATATTTTAGGGATGGAATAATCTGTGGAAGTTGCTTTCTGCAGTGTGTGCTGCTATCCATTTTTTTTCTTTCAGAAAATCCTTTTGAAATTAGACACAGCTCCTGGAATCAACCCAGACACTGCTTTTCAAGCCAGAAGCATTTGTATAAGCATCATCAATCATGCCACTGACTCTTATTGCTACTGTATATTCACTTTCTACCTGGTTGGAATTCCTAATTGGCCCCGCTGAGCAACTTAAAGCCCTGAAGAAAGTGGTGGAAGGGAGGTGGGGGAGAGCATGACTTTCCAGCTGGGACTGGGAGGTTTTCTTGCAAATTACACTGATCAAGTCTGTTTCCTGGAGAAAACAGACAAGAAGCAGTTGGTAACAGGGTGAGTAAGAGTCGGATGCTATGGGGTATGATGTACAAAAGTATGTACAACTGGCTCCATTATCATCTGAGCAGTTGGCCTGGCAGCTGCCTACATCATGAGTTTCAGACTCGTGTACTGTAATGCAAACACACGAGGAGTCATTTGGACAGGAATAGAGCAGATAATTCAAGAGAAGGCTGTTTTTCTGATTTAAGTGCAGAAGAAACTCTGAAAAATGCAGGTGATTTTCTGTGCTGTCTAGAGCAGGATTTCTCTTTCTCTGCTTAGGGAACCATTGATGTTCTCCCCATCTCTTTATCTCTTCTTACATTTAGGTTCTCTCAAGCTGCCTAAAACAATGCTAATTGTGTGGGAGTGCCCTCATGGACTGGTGACCCAGGACAGGGTGATGGGTCTGGGCTGTGCCAGGGAAAGGGCTGCCCCACAGGCAGTGATGGTGGGTCAGATCCCTGCACAGCCTCAGGTGCAGCTAACACAGAAGGGGATTGGAGCTATTTCTCCTTCTCAGGTGCATAGTAAGCATGAATAGGAGTTGCATATGCATACAGTACATTTATTTCATTGCTTTGCATCCCCTACTGTCCCCCACCCTATTCCCACCAAGCAGTCTCACATGCTGCTGAAAGCCAGGGCAGCTGTCCTCATCTATCAAAGCCTGTCAGCTTGAAAGCATAGGCTCTTCCCATTAATTAAGCAAATGTAATGTGATTAGCTAAGGCTGTAAATGTTTCTAGGCCCATTAGAAAGCTACAAAACACCAAGCATCGCAGCCTCTCATTTTCATACACTTGTGCTATGTGGGATGCTCCTCTGGGGCTGAGACTTTTGTTCTTAAGTTTTTGTGTGAGAGAGAAAATAGGGACATGTAATGGAAAGCACTAGGAATGGGTCATGTAGTTCTTAAATTGCTGTTTGAGTTATAGGAACCTGAAGAAGAAATTAGTTTCTGCACTTTCAAAAAACTTTCAAAATGTTTTTTTAAATGGATGTAACAAGAACTGCTGAAAGCTGAAATTTTGGTAAGAGCCTATAGACCTCATTTAAATTTTCTGCTTGATTTGATGAAAAATATATACTACTTAGCAACTAAGGATCTAAATGAGAGTGCTTTAGGTTGTCAGCCTGAAAGCAAATGGAACAGTCAGTGGGAATAAGAAAACAGAATATGAAAATTCTTGAATTTTCAGTGTTATGAACTAGATCTACTTAAGGACTTAAACCTAAAGTGGGATGGAGGTGCCTAAATCTAATACTGTGATGCTGCAAAACCTTTGACAGACTTTCAGCATATGTAAACTCCAAAGGTGCTCCCCAGATGTTAACAGTCATTTTGATCTTTGGGTAGCAGAAGTGTTCCCTTCTCATCCAGGCTGAGCTGCCCAGCGTGTCACGTGCATCTGCAGCTCTTTGGGATACAAAAATTTAGCATTTCTTTCCCTAATTCCCCTCATAGGCTCAGCCTGGTAGGCATGCACTAAGAATACCTCAGACAAAAGGGCTGTGCCTATCCAGGCAGCTTAGGCCACTCTTGAGCTCCTAAAAGGACTTCCTAGAGCTTGGATCCCCACATGGTTTGCAGCAAGTCCAGTGCTTTATGTCTCACCCTCTGCAGGTTCTCTGCCAGCAGTCAAGATCAAAGTCTTGGCGCATCACATACTTTCACGTGGATGAAAAAAACATTCAGGACTCAAATCATGAGAGTCATTTCCTGAAGCCAAATTAATTAAAATGAACCATTCCACCAAGCCCTGACATCCTCTCTGCAATCTTTTTGATTGACCCAAATTCCCAACTTTGTTTCCAGAAATCTGCTGGGGCTTTTTCTCCATGAGAGAGGAAGAAGATACCAGGTTCTTGCCTTGCCTGCCATGATGGTAAGTTCCTCTTCTACAAGACAAAAAGCTCCGAAGAGCCTGAGGTAAGAAAGTTCTCCCTGCAATCCCTATCTCACTGCTCTTACAAACATCCTGGGGGACAGAGGGAGGAAAATGCTTCTTGAAAGCACTTTAACACCCTCCCTGAAATGGGACAGCACTGCAAAGAGCTGCTGCTCTCACCAGGCAGAAGGGCCAACAGACAGCATGTGGAAGGATGTTCATCAGTCCTACCTCACAGCCTGGTGCTTTCTGAGGAATTGGTACTCTGATGGCCCCGGCCTCTTCCCAGGAAGCACTTCTTACTGCTGAGACAGAAATGGAAGGGGGAAGAGGGCCATTGCTACAATTATCCTCTCATCTAGATGAATGTATGATTAGATGTGAGGTTTGCCCTTATGGTGGGTCTCTGGTGCTTGAGACCAAGACTGGGCTCGAGTCCAATCCCTGTTGAAACCTGTTCGTACAGGTGGAGCCACAAACCTGCCTGTGCCCTTCTCTTATAATGCGTAGCTGCAGTTGCTAGAAAGGCAGAAGCAATGCCTCATTTTGTAGAGTTTCCTAATACTGGGATCAGCAAGAAGCAGGATCCAAAGGAGATTCAAAGACCTCTCTCACCACAAGAGTGTCTCACTGCAGGCTTGTATGAATTTTTGAGTACAGAAATTTCCCATCTCTCCTGAAGAAAAGCAGAAAAAAGCACTATCAGACCTATATGGCCAAGGAGCACTTGCAGAATAGGATGCAATGCTTGAGCTTTATGTTTTGGAGCGTCACCTGTTAGTAGAATTGAGAGTAAACGGACCTATTGAAGCACTGCAGCATCTCCTAGCAATTGCTGCAGATGTTTTAAACCCACCTAAGGGGCACAGGTTATCTTTTTTTATGCAGTTAGACTCAAGCCATCAAAGGTGATTCTAATGACTGTAAGATACCAAAACCTCTCCAGGACCCTATGACTTACTAGCTTTCAAAGAAAAACAGGTTGTCAGTCTGATTTCTGAGAGCATGTCAGCACTGGAAGAGACATAGGGAGACCTAAGTGGCACTCTGACAAGCTCTGAGGTACCCAGGACTAGTGAAAACCGTGGAAGCCCAGTGAATGGGATATTGTGACACTGTACTAGGTGTCACTCTCCTTCTCCAAGCAAGATCCTCTGGAGTGTTACAATGCCTTTTCAAATTAGTGGTGGTGAGATGGCTTAATGCTTTCAGAAAACTGGCCTCCACCTTTCTCAGAAATGGGAATTTTTCCCTATGATTTATGCTATTGAGGTGTAGCCTCTAACAATAATAGTAGAAACCTAAATATTTTACTCAGAGGACCCAAAGAGCCTTTTTCATACCTCAGTTTGAGGCTGGCATTCAGTTAATGTTGATGTAATGTCTCCTTTAAAAACACTGTAATTAAATTTGCCAACACAGTCACCAAAGAGCCATTTATAAATTGTCTATATAGTTGCAATTCAGCATGTGCTTGTGACTATTTCATTGGGTTTATCCTAACATCACAAGCTAATAATACTGAAAACAGGGAAATGGGTAATTCACAGAGGACATGGTACTCTGTATATAGCTAACAGTGATTAAGTAGTCTCTGCTTTCAGAAGAAAGATAAGGGCAAAAAAGAATAGGTCCCTCGATAATATCAGGTAATTCTTATATGTGGTCCTTCATGACACAGGCATAAATCACAATAAAACCCATCTGCAGATCTAAGGGGTGAAATCATAAATCCTGCTTTATAAATGAAACCTGCACATCTGATAGTGTGCATTGCTCCAGATTTGTGGCAGCTGTAAATGATGTACTAAGGTTCACAAACCCATTTGCACTCTCTGGCTGGGAAGAAGGGAGGTGAGATTTTACCAGGGCAGAGAATATACTGGAAGATACACTCGGCAATGAGAGAGACCCTGAGTGTGTGCATGAATGAGAAATGGATACTTTACACAGACTGTCATATCCTGACTTTATACTTGGGTATAAAACTGGCCCCAGTTTCTCTAAATCCATGGCACTGTGTTATGCCTCTCTGATTGCTCCCGGGTCTGATGGGGTAAATGCAGGTGATGGGGCCAAATGCTCAGCTTTTGCTGGTCACTGGAGCAAACTGGACTCAAACAAAACATTTCACGCTGGCCAGGAGCCTGTGTCCTTTTTCAGGCTGCAGCTTTGCATGCCAGCTTCTGTCAGCAGCAGGTGAAAGACAAGTGGTCATTTAAGCAAGTGCAGGGATGGATGATACCGTATTTTGGCTAGGTTATGGCCCACTTTCTGGATGAAGTTGGTCAACTTGGTCATCTGCTCCTTCTCCTCTGGGCATTGGAAGATACATCTCCCCGGGACAGGCTCACCTTCCTGTCACCACAGAGCTGCCTGGCATTTGTAACCCCTATGCCCCTCTCGAGGCCACTCATCATTGCATTCACAACATGAAGCATCTCCCAGGAGCTGCTCTCAGGATGGCAGATTTGGCTTTTTGGCTTACCCAGCTCCCTGTGTCACTGTAGCTCTCCCACCACTGCATTTGGCAGTGCACATACTTGTCTTTTCTGTTGTCAGCATGAGACAGATTATTTCCCTAGTGCTCTTCTGTGGTTTGACAATGCAAAAACACACGGCAGAGGCTGACTTGGCACATTTTCTCATATGTGGTATATTGTTATTTGGACCTGCTCTCCTCTGCACCGACTTCTCTGCAGGGGCTAACAAGGAGTAAAATATCTGCGCCTGTGCTTCCCTCACACACTGCTAAAGCTCAGCCAGTTAAACCGAGGCATGATTGATTATTTAATTTGCATTGTTGGGACTGAGACCTTGGAAACATCCTGGGTTTCTTAAAACATTTACATTTCACATTCATTAGGATGTTTTCCCAATGGCACTCTCGGAGTTTGGCTTCAGACACCAGAGGAAGGTGGCTCTCCTCGCGCAGGCTTTCGCCACAAAAAAAGTCTTCTCTAACCTTCATTTTTAGCAACTTCACTGTGAACTTCCAGTACACTTTGCAGCTGAGGTTAGTGGTTAGTGCAATCCAGCAGTGCTAACTTCTCTCCCTGTTTTGGTATTACTGCCACTCTAAATTTACATTTTTATATAATTGAGCCCAGCAGTGTTGCTTCTTTCAGAGCAGTTGCAGCTCCCAGGCGTGAGTTCTCTGTGTTTTCAAATGTCATCTATGTAAAGTTCAGTACCTCCTGAACAATCAAATGCGTTGCTGTGTTTTCCTGTAAAATGCCTCAGGGAATGAATGTAACCAAAATGTCAGTCTGAGGAAGAAGTGTCTCCCAAAGAGTGAACAGAACATGCAGAAATACAGCCTTTGTTTCTCTGGGGGCACCTGCTAGGCATCAGATGATATACATAAAGCTATTTGCTATCTGTCACCTCCCCAGAAATCTTTCTTTTGAAGCTAATAAAGACCTCTTTCTTTTATTACAGATTTCTTTTTTTTTTCAGTCATACATAAATATAGCATTTCAGCTTTTTAGCATAGCTCCCTAAGACAACTGTGTCCATGCGGTCCCTCTGCCTGTTTCTCTGTCTGCCCATGGTAATCTGAATTTCTTGTCCATATAAATACATTAGACAGACAAATGGAGGCTTCCAAGAGAAAAAGTTTCCATAAGATCAGTGTAGAAATCTATGGCTGGAGAGAAGATAAAATTATTAAGGCCTCTACTGAGGGAAAATTGAGGGCCATCTTACTGCTTGGTGGCAGCTGATTGCCAGCTAGCCCTGTGTAGCTTCAGATCAGCCACATCCCATAATGCCTTCTGACATGCCAAGAGGCAAAAAAGGTGATGGAGGGCAAGGAGGCAGCTGGGAAGTTGGCTTAGAAGCCATATCATGGAGTGAAGGACCCAAATAAGGGGGAAAAGGAGTGAGAAAAACATGGGAAAGAAATTACAGAGGTATGAGGAGCAGTGTGTGCTCTCTGGGATGTGCCAGGGAACAGCAACAAGGAGATGGACTATTGCAGTGGGACTGTGCAGGGGCATGGGTCACAAATCCCCTGCTCCTCATGGAACACTTATTTCAGTGGTGGTGCACCCATTTCCATTGCCTCATTAGCTTCTACCTGAGTTCAAAGCCCAAAAGCTATCCATGTCCCTGCTGCTTTTAAACTGTTTCTGTAGCCCTGTCCATGGCTCCTGGGAGGAATTCCTGGGTGCTACCAGTGCTCCTCAGAATCCTCTCCCCTGCTGTGGGCACCTTCTTGGCATCTGAAAACAGTTGTGAAAATGATGGTGGGTTTTTTTGCATTCAGAATGTTTATAATATATTTGTCTCCTTCTCATACTCCCATATCTCACTCCAGTGTTTCTGTAATGTCCATAGCTTGCCCCTTTGTCCAAGCCAGCTGAAAGCTATTAGAATTGTCAAGCGATTCAGAACCAATTACTGTTACACATAAAGCTGCTTTCCCACTGCCATCTTCATTAGTTTTGCTGGCATTTGCAGCTACCAGGGACAGAACAACAAAGGGTCTAAATCAGTTGTCTTCCATAATTCCAGAGTTTAAAATATAGGAGGGCTATAAACTGCTCCTTTGTGCACTTAAATGATTATTCATTTTTTTTATTAGCAACCGCTCCAAAGGTTCACTCAGGGCCAGCAGTTGTGGTAAAGGCTTGCCTTACTGCCTGAGCTCTTGTCCACTGGCCTTCTGCAAGGCAAATCTTTGCCCTCAGCTTGCTTGCTGCAGCGTCTCTGAAAGGTCCCAATCTTGGGAATAACCTTAATGCTTTCAAGACAATATTTCATATTCAAGTTTTGCCCACAGTTCCCCAGCTGGAATACAGCTGGTACAAATGCTGTGGTGAAAGGGGCATAAAGTGCAGTGGGGTGGCTCTGTGATAAGTGTCACTAATATTTCTGGTAGATGCTTGTCATGGTTCCTAGGAGGTAAAGGAGGCAGGAGAAGCATCTTCTGGGTTAGAAAACATGAGGAGCAAGGATGGGGACTTCACAGGTAGCTGAAATGACAGCTGTCG